AAAATAGAAAATCTCAGGCATGTGCCCTCAGAAAAACAAAACCTCAGGAGTGAGAAACTGATTTCTCATAAATGTCTGATTTACAGAAAACTGATAGTACTGGAATTTTTTTTTTAAGATTTCATTGGGGAATTGGGGGAGGGGAACAGACAAGTTGCTGTCCTTTCGTTCTTCAGTCTAGTTGTGGAGGATGTTGCTTCACTGGCCCATGTTGGTATTATCATTGTGCTCTTCCCGGGCGAGGCAGTCGCCTGCCGACCATTGGACGGCTGCTCACGGCAGCTCACAGCTGCTCACGAAAGCTCACGCCCGCTGCCAGCCAGCCCCACTGCTGGTGACTCCTGGCAGCCCCGCTCCAGGTCGAGCTGTTGTTCACCATCTTAGCTGTAGAGGGCGCAGCATCACTGTCCCTAATGTGGGGTCCGAACCGGGACCCTGCTGCTTAGAGCTGGCGTCCTAAGCCAACTCTTAACCAACATGCCACTCGGCCGGCCCTGGAATTTTCTTAAATGATAAGTATTTTGTTGGGGATTGCCTCCTATCAACGATGGGAAGTTTTGCTTATGGTTTCCAGAGGCATGAACAAGAAAGGACCCAGGTTAGGTTGGTCTTGCAAAATACGCTGAATTAAACTTTGTTTGTATGACTGGATGAATTTTGTCTGCTAGGGGAATTTTCAAAGCTGGTCTCCATTTGTTTTAATTTTAACAGAGTCTAACTGCACTCTCCCCACTTCACATTCCTGCCCATAATACAGCTTGCTCCAAACCCTCAGCTGTCTCACCTATAGCTTGCTACATTTTGTGTGTCCAAATTGCAATTCCTCTGCTATTCCAAAATAAACTCACCTTTTTGACAATTTTGAGCTTGTCTCAGTTTACCTCTTGATTTAGGTCGACAAAACAATAGGAAACAGCATAATATGCTAACCCTGTATCTTTCACACCAGGGAGGAGACCTCATTCATTGAGAGGTGAGAATTACAGGGCTTCAAACCTTCAAACTTCAAACTTAAAAATGCACATTTGACTAAAAGTGTTGCAGAGAAATCTAGTAGAAAGGCAAAAGATAACTGGAAGATTACTGGGTGAGGTGGAGTCAGAGAATGGAGGCTTGATTATCAATTCCCTGTGCCTCCATCTCTGGCCAGCAGATAAAGTTCTTGGCTCAAGGAACTCATAGCTTTGGACCCTGTAAANAGCGATGTCTTGCAATACAAGTAGCTTGTTTCTGGAACGAATTATGATCGCAAACCAAGGTATCACTGTATTTAACATACAAATTTATACCGTACTCTCCCTGCTTGTCAGGGTTTATCTGTAGTGTTGGAGGTCCTCTGGGAAGAGTGGGAGCTCACAACTCTGAGAAGAGTGGTGCCCACTCTCATCCTTTCCCTTTTGTAGGACCACAAGGTATTGTGGTCTATGAGTGTTCATTAAATGGAGTTTGGCATTAGATTTTTTTTTTAACTTAAATTTCCCTCACAATATACACACGTGGCTTTAAAGT